AGTGGGCCAACCTTCTTCCCACGCAGCTCGCAGAGCACAAGCAGCCCGGCAGAGGCTTTGAACATCGGATCGGCCCGCTTGCCAGGGGCGAGGATGAGGCGGGGCGTGAGCGAGAGAGCGGGGGTGGGACCCTGGTCATCGACGAGTTGCCTCCAACGCTTCAACTCACTGCCGTTTGTGCCTGTCACACTGCTACCATGCCCTACACCGGTCTCCAACGCGGCCGTCGCCATGCGAGTGGCCAGCTTCAGTCTCTTCATCTTCCCCAGAGCTCTGAGACGCCGACAGCGGGCCACAGCAGCTACAAGGCGCTCCCGCATAGCGCCCCGACCAAGCCTCCGAACCGACCCGAAGTCCACCCTGGGGTTCCTCTCAACGCGCGCGCAATGGCCACCGAGACAAGACAAACCTGCCCCGATCTCTCGCCTCAGAGGGGCCCGTGGCGACTAAAAACCGTGTTCTGTCAGAGGCGATGACTAAATCTACTAGCTCGAGCTGGCGCTCGAGCTCGAAACCGGCCCCAACCAGGTCAGCTGCGACGCGGTCCGGGGCCCTAAAACGCCGCAGCCCGACGTCCCCGACTACGGCCGAGTGGGCCACGGCCCCGACAGCTTTTCGAACTTCCTCCAGCGGCTGGAGAAGAATCAGCGACAGCATAACAACTGCAAAAACGCCGCCCGGCAGAACGCTTTGCTCAGACAGAATGGGCTCGGACACAAAGATGCCGATGTCTAGGGTGCGCGGCTGACGGTAAAGACTGATGACCACATGGAGAAGGCGCGCGGGGAAACCCGTTCGAGCAGCTACCGCCACAAGGCGGCAGCGCCTAATGAGCTTCAACGCCTTTTTCAAGTCAGCCATCACAGTGCCCGTCGACATGCCCTTGGCGCGAGCCCACTCGGCCAGCGCAGCCTACGCCCACGTGCATTCATCGGCGGTTTTGCGTAGGGTTCCCCACGAGAAACTCACGGCATTGCGTGGCTGCCAGCGGCGGGGCTCCCCTCTCCGAAGACGACGCGAGACTCTAGCAAGAACGCGCAACAGCGCAATCGGCCTGACCCCCCCGCATTTTCGGCCACTGAAGTCGGCATGTCAACTAGGCGCGAAACCTCGCAGAGCGCTTGGATCCCATGATCCCCTAGCAACAGGGAATGGCGGGGATGGGCGCTGTCGCGCCCTGGCCCGCGGCAGGCTCGAAGCTCAGCAACGCAGTTCTGACCTGCTCGGCGGCGGGCCTCGGAGGAGGATCGTAGAAAGAGAAGTCAAGCCACTAGAGCGGGGGGGGGGCCTCCGAGACACACCACCAGGCCCTCTATTCACTGCGCAACTTATCCATCTGCTCTGGAGAGCCAATGGGGGCAGAATCACGCGCAGCCTCGCCTGGCGCCCATCCAGCAGGCAGCTCCGAGAAACTATGCAACGCTGAGTCTCCGTGCTTGGTGCTGTGCTTTTTCCACCCAAGCCTCCCAGCCCCGCCCCTTGTCTCGCAGCCTGGCGCGCACCAGCTGTTCTGCTTGCCGCCGCGCAAATGTCTTTAGCAAAAGGAGTTGGAAGGAGGCGAGGGGGCAAACTACTGTCAACCAACTTCGCAAAGGCAACGGCACCTCTGCAGCTTCTGGGGAGACCTCGAATCCTGCAATGCTTGACGAGCCTGTTTCGCCTGGAGACACCACCCCAACTTCCTGAATCGGAATGCAAATCTCTGAGCGCATGAAACATACCTTTCCACCAGACTGCCGCTGCACTCAGCTGCGGGAATGGGGCTGCTGCAGGGCGCGGCGGCTTCGTGTGCTTGAGTGCCAGCTCTCGCGCCCTGCCACAAAAATGCCCCTGCCGTCAGGGGTCAACGTCGTAAAGGTTTACCCACTTGCCTTCCGCGACCGCGATGAAACTTGCCCTGGCTCGATCAACATCGGCCGCAAGACAGCGGCCAGCGACAAATCTGCGCAATGCCGTCCCAGTCTGGCTCCTGGAACTCACGGCAGCGACCTACTGGCCTCTCAGCAGGGAAGCCACGCGCCTGGAACACTGGACGTACATCAGGAGGACGGCGAGGCACATTGAGACGCAATCGTACAGGTCGATGAGGAGAGATGGCGACATCCGCGTTGACTTCAACCTGCGCTCCCACAGCGAGGAAGGGGCTCATCGCGAAGCAATCGACGAACCGCTCCGAAGGTGCGACGGCTTCCTGTCCCGACGCCACGACGACGCCGCCGATGCCGTCGACCCAGCCACTCGCCTGCAGCTGATGCGGGGTGAACTGGCAGTCCGCACTGAGGGTGAAAAGGATGCCCGCCATCTTGATCTTCTTGCCAACTTCACGCAGACTCTGCCAGTTGCGCTCGCCGAGGTCATCCGAGTCATGCAGGTAGAGAGGGCCAACCAACAGCCCGCCTTTGGGCCCATGAGCTAGACGCCTGGTCTGAACAGCCGCAGGAAAGACAATGCGATCCACCTACTCAATACTTTTCAAAACCATAACGCGCCGGGGCAGCCA